GCTATTGTTTTTTTACCTTGTGCTTTTTTTCCCCCCCCCCGCCGGTCTGCAGCATTTTTTCCCATTATCTGGTATTTTCCGGTAGTGGCTGACCTTCCTCAGCCCGTGGCTGGCGCCCGCCTGGCCCTCACTGTGCAGATAAACGCGCCTCGCTGCAGCCTGCTTGGGGCAGGCACCCCAATGTTGGATGCGGGTCCCGGCGTGTGGCAGGCAGGTCCCGGTGCACGGGAGCCCTTGGTAGCCACCATGTTGGTGGTGCTGTGCCATGCCACAATAGCAACGGCTGCCCTGCTCCCAGAGCAGGGTGAAACGCATCCCCACGGGGAGTGCGGTGCAATTGCTGCTGGGGCGGCACCGGCAGACCCTGAGCTGAGTGCTACCGTGTGCTGTCGGTGCTTGAAGGCTGGGAGGACGCGCAGGCGTTTGTCTGGCACGGTGCTCGTCCGTGGGGGCTCTTCTGCCTGTCAGCTTGGTGATGCAGGGCCGCGTGTTGGTGGTTACACCAGTGCATGGTGTACATGGTGTACGACACCGGCCTGGATGCGGTTCAACATGGGCAGCTAGTCTCTGAGGGCTGGGTGAAGCCCCCGGCTGTGGCAAGCTCCTCATCTCATGGGGGTGACGGCTCTGACCTGGCCAGTGCCCGGTACCTCCATCGCCTTCTCCAGCGGGGCAGAGGTTGCCGGTGTCTCCCACATTGCTGGTGCCGAGCAGGAGGGAAAGCTGCCTGCCTGTCCACACAGGGCACCATGGACAAGCTTTGCCATGGGTTCCCGTTCCCGGCCAGGACCATCAGGACGTAGGGGCACGGCAGGAGGTTTCACTGTGGGAGACCTGCCTGCGGGATGCAGAGGTGCCCATCCAGAGGGAGTGATCCGCTGTGCCCTTGTGTGTCCGAAGGAGGCGGAGGCGCTGGAGACAGAGGCCAAGCTGTTTGAGGACCTGGAGTTCCAGCAGCTGGAGCAGGAGAGCCGCCTCGAGGAGGAGCGTGAGGCGCGGGGCCAGCAAGTGATCCGCTGTGCCCTTGTGTGTCCGAAGGAGGCGGAGGCGCTGGAGACGGAGGCCAAGCTGTTTGAGGACCTGGAGTTCCAGCAGCTGGAGCGGGAGAGCCGCCTCGAGGAGGAGGGCGAGGCGGGGGGCCAGCAGCTCCTGCAGAGCCGGGCCGAGTGCCACCGCAGCATCGCCCGCAGGAAGGTAGGGGAGAGGGGGGCACCGGGTCCGGCGCGGCCGGGCTGTGCCCTGCAGGTCCAGCTGAGCCCCAGGGCTGGCTGGCGGCCAGCTCATCCCCGCTGCCTGCTCCCCAGGAGCGGGTGGCTGCCCTGGACGCCCAGGCTGCCCAGATCCGGCTGCAGAGCGCCCAGGAGGCCGAGCGCCTGGCCAGGGAGAGGAACGGCATCCTGCAGCTCCTACAGAAGGTAATGCAGGGGTCGGGGGGTCAACATGCGCTCCCCGACCCTGGGGGTGCCTGAGGCAGGGGACAAGATTGTGCTGGCTCTTGCCGAGGTGCTGACAGTTGGAGTGAGTTTGGGGGGGACTGGTCACGAAGTGCCAGTAACCACCAGCTGCCTCTGCTCTCGCTGTCACCCCGCGCTCAGGAGAAGGAGAAGCTCGTGTCTCTGGAGAGGCGATACCAGCTCGTCACAGGCGGCAGGAGCTTCCCCAAAATGTCCTCAGCTCTCAGAGAGGTAAGTGGGGAGAGGGGGGTATGGTCCCTAGGGCTGCTCTCCTGCCGCCCCGAGCCGCTGTCTCCAGCAAGGACAAGCCTGGTGCACCACAAGCTCTGCTCTGCAGCGGCTCCTATGCTCCCAAGCACCTTCTGGTTGGAGTCGGGTGCTCCCGGCTGCTCAGAGCCTCTCCGTGGGCTGTAGAGAGCATTGCCAGGTTGGGAGGGAGGGAAACGCAACAGAGCCAGGCTTGGAAGCAGCAGCATCTCACCTGCCAGGCTGCTCGGGTGCTGCAGGAGCCCCGCAGCAGTCCAGGCTTTTAACAGGCAGCTCGGTGAGGGCTGCGAGTACCCATGAGGGAAGGGCTCAGCGTGGCTGCGGAGCACCCGGGGCAGGCACTGCCTGGGGTCCCGTCCTTGCCAGAGAAGCAAGCGTGGGGCTGTCTTGGTGCCAGTACGGGGGACCCCTTCCAATCATGTCCAAAGGCTTTTAGGTGTTAGTGGGTCACCCTGTTGCCCTGCTCGTGGCTCTGAATGGGGAGCCAGAGCCACGATGCCCTTGGGGACCGCGGTACCACCTGACCCGCTGCTGCAGAGAGGGGCAGGATGGCAGAGTCCCCTTGCGCCTGCCCGCAATGGGGCTCCTCCTGCTGCCACCTTGCTGCCTGTGCCCGCCTTGCCTACGTGATCTTTACCCTCCAACAGGAGACCCTCCATATCTCAGAGCCTTATGAGCTGTTGGAGGGAACTAAGCCCCTGAGCCCCCTGCCAGCAGCAGCTGCCTCCTTAGCTTCTCCTGCCACCCGCTCCTACCCCAAGGCACAAGAGGTAACGGGACTAACTGCACGTGCTTGCTCGCTTGCCCCCTCCTTGGCTGAGCCACCACCAGACCCCTTACTGCGGACTAACGTCGCCTTCGGGCAGCAGGGCATCCCCACAGCAGCACGCTGAGATGGCACGGCTGGGGCATTTCTCATTTAGCTCTCCAGCGGCTGTGCTCATTAACACTCAGATCCTGATTTCGAGTGCTCTCCTGAGCCCGCCAGGCATCCCGGCTCCCGCTGCCGCCCTCAGTTTTAACCCTGGCGTGGCGCCGTGTGCCACAGGCATCCCTGCGCTTCCCCCTTGCCCGCCACTTACCCACTGTCTGGGCACCTCCTGACAGCATCCTTTAGGGTCCTGCTAGCCTGGCTTCCCCCAAAAAAAGAGCAAATCCACGGCTTTAGCATGTTTGGTTCAGAAAGGGTGAGGAAGCGGAATTTAAGTTGGCTCGGAGCAGCTCGAGGTGCCTCATCTGGTGCTGTCGCACTGGGGAGGGCTTGTGGCCAGAGACCCCGGGGGACCCCAAGATCTGGGTGATGGGAACAGCTGAAGGCGCCTGGGGCCTCAGCAGGGCAGGTTGCAGTACTCTGTCCCCAGCCTGCACCCAGCAAAGCTGCACCTAAGGCAGGAGCAAGGCAGCGTGCTGGGACGCCCAGCCCAGCTTGGGCACCTCGCTCCCTGCGTGGTGCTGTGCACCAAGGCAGCCGCAGGCAGGGAGGGCAGCAAGGCAGGGAAGGGCTGGGCAGGTGGTGGTGGGGCACACGCATGCAGGGAGATTTGCTCCAGCTTTGCAGTCAGCGCCATGATGCCAGTGCATGGGTCTAACTCTCCTCCTTCTCCTCCGCCGTGGATTTCTAGGAGTACATGAGGCTGTCTGACGTTTTCAGGTTCTGCAGCAATGCGCACGGCCCCAGCCCGGACACTAAAGCTTCTGCTGCTGCCCCTGCTGCCGCTCAGCGCTCTTTCTTGCTTGCTGTACCTCCCGCAGCCGACGAGGTACCCGCTCCAGAGCATGCTCGGGTTTGCTCTCTTGGGTTGCCCGCTGCATCCCGGGCAGCGAGGATGCTGCAGACCACGTGGCCTCCCCGTGTGCCCTGGTGCTCGGAACCCACCTCTCTCTTGGGCTGGGGGACTTGTCCAGCTGCAGCTGAGCAGGGAGTAGAGGCTGGAGCTGCCCGGTCTTGCCAGGGAGCGCTTCTCGCCTGCTCCAGACAGGCTTTGCCCTCTGGGGCAGCGGCAGCAGCGCTGGGGAGTAGAGTGGGTGCCCAGCGGGGCGGGAGGGCGGCCTTTTGCCTGTTGGACCCAGTCCTGGCTGCCAGTCCCAGGCGAGGAGGATGCAGAGCAGGCGGGGACCTGACCCGGTGTCCAGCACCAGGGCGGCAGGCAGCACCAGCTGGCCTTCCTCCTGGGGACGTGGCACCCTCTTTTGGGGGCTGGAGCCACCTGCTCATTCCCCTGTGCCTGCTTGCCCTTGCTTGGAGCCTCTTCTCCTGGTTTAATCTGCTTCTCTCTGTCCAGTACGTGACCGTTGAGCAGCTCTCGGGCATCCTGGGTGGCCTCCATGCCCCTGCTGCTTCCCCGCTGGGCTGCGCCCCTCCGGCTCCTTCATCCTCAGGCTGTGCTGCTCCTCCTCCTCTTCCATCTCTCTCTTCTCCCTCCGTCTCTGCAGAGGTTTGTGCCCTGTTTCCCTCCCTCTGCCCCCGCGCTGTCCCCGGGAGGTGATGGGGATGCACGGGAAGGGGTGAGCTGCGGATGAGGCCGAGCAGCAGCCCGGGCTCTTGCCAGCCTGTGCACCCCTTGCTGCCCTGCCCGCTGCTTCACTGCCTGCCTGGCGCCCTGCCGCCTGCCTGGGCCCTACCCAACCCGTGGTGCAGGGCAGGGGGTCTCTGTGCCCCTCTGGAACTTGCATTGGGTCTCGCCGGCCCCATGAGCAGCAAGGGGGTCCCAGAGCTGCCGGGACTCAGCCAGGGAGTGCGCGGGGTCCCCAGGGGTCTGCAGGTCCCGTTCTGGAGGGGCAGTGCAGTCACAGGCAGGGATACTCCGACCTCTCTATCTCTGTGCGTATGTCCCTCTCGCTGCATTTTGCCCTCCCTCATTTCTCACGCCGCGTCTCTCTCCAGATGGAGCAGCAGCTGCTGGGGGGCCCCGTGTGGCTCCCAGCTCTTGATTTAGAGAAGTGGTACCAGGAGGTCATGGCTGGCTTTGAGACCTCCTCCTCCTCTGTCTCTCCTCCTTCTTCCCCTCCTCCGCTTCCAGCTAAAGCTCACTCCTCTCACAAGCCTCTCCAGGTAATCCTGGCTCCCCGCCTCTGGGGCTCAGGCTTCGGG